ATCAAGAGTACAATTAGTGCAAAATGTATTCCCAAATATTGCACAAAACTATCGAAATCAAGATTGGCTAAGCGAGAGAGCTATATTAGCTGCCAAAAATGTCGATGTCAATGAAATCAATGCCAGTATTTTGACTCAAATTCCAGGTGAAGTTGTGACCTATAAATCAATTGATTCAATCACTAATCCCGACGATGTAGTGAATTATCCCATTGAATTTTTGAACTCACTTGATTTGCCTGGCTTGCCACCACATCGTTTGCAATTGAAAGTCGGCGCAGTGATCATTATGTTACGAAATATCAATCAGCCGAAACTATGCAATGGGACAAGATTAGCAGTGAAACGGACAATGAATAATGTAATTGAAGCAACAATTTTGCAAGGCAAATTTAAAGGTGAAGATGTTTTGATTCCGCGTATTCCAATGATTCCAACAGATTTGCCTTTTGATTGTAAACGAATTCAATTTCCCATTCGCCTTGCTTTTGCTATTACTATCAATAAGTCTCAAGGTCAAACACTTCAATTGTGTGGAATTGACCTAACTTATCCATGCTTTGGACATGGACAACTGTATGTAGGATGTTCGCGAGTAGGGAAACCATCGTTACTATATATTTATACACCACATGAAAATAAAACCAAAAATGTTGTGTATCAGAAGGCGTTAGAATAAGTTTTTAGTTTACAATCATTGTAATCATTGTTATTAGAATAAGTCACAAAATAGTGGCCGAACATGAATTAAATGACAAAAAAAAGGAAAAAACCAAGAACACCTTTCATTTCTATTTTTCTTTCACCCAGCGAAGCGGGTGAGGGTCCGCTAGTATAATATAATATATATTGGCGCTTACACATATGTTAGTGTCTGGCCGAGCTTCTCCTCCGACTTGTGGCGTGCGCCTTGATGTTGTTACACAAAGCGGAGGGACCTACAGTTTTACGCCGACTCCGAACGGCGATTGTATTTTTATGAGAAGCTGTTTTTCATGGCAGAAATACACTCGGAGGTTTGCCATTGCCTGCCGAGGGACGACCGCTGTTAAGAAAAAACCTTTTCTATATTTTTTGCGATGTTGCTTTGGCCAGGGCTTGAATCCAGGTGCTGAGGAGTGAAAGCGCGCACTGCTTACCACTACACCACAGCGGCCGACGTAATATACATATGTTTAAAATCGATTGGAGTGATTATTCTCTCATTTCGTTTTTGTTTGGTGAACCCGTATGGTCTAATGGTCCCAATGGCTTCAAACTATCCTTAATCTTATTCATTCCATTAAAAGTAAACTCTTTATTACAATAAAACTTTAAAATTAGTTATTTCCTTTCCCCTGCAGATTCACAAGTGGTCGCATACCTATTGGGGTTTGCCGAGGTGGGTCCTTTTCTTGCAAAACTACCACATAGTATTGCCGCGAAAGCATCACCGCATTCATCATGTTGCGCCGCATGAGACATACTTTTGCATTACCACTGGCTGGTTGAATTGGCCACTGGAGAAAATAAGGTATACTTTTTTAAAGGACATATAGTAATTAAATAATACATAACCTAATTTTAATTTTATGTAATTATTTTTCTAAGATTCTGGCCCACATTAGAAGCTGTAATTGAGTACTCAACAGGCTGCAAGGCACGCGATGATGACCTAAAGTGGGCCAAAAAGATGACATAACTGTGTTGGCGGATAGTGCAAAATCCTAAATTATATCCTATGGACATGTATGTACGTGTAAATGTATGCACATTTACCAGCATTGGTATTGTGAGAGTTTTTCAATCACACACACGAAAATTTATTGAAATCTTATGAGCATTTTTATTAAAACGCTGAATGTACAAATGCTGAATACAGGCATACTGACTACAAGACACTAGTTTGCCTGTATTAATTAGAATTTTTTAAGATTATCTACCGCGTAATCGACACTCACCTAGCCATACATACTACACTATACATACATGCATACATGTACATATGTATGTAGTTAATGGAGAAAACAAACAAATTGCAATAACATCAAATATCACAAGCAATTAATTTAAGTGAACACTATAAGTGAATTAGGAGGCTTTTTTTTACAAATATACACCACATAGCGCATAATTAATTAGACGAAGAGATCATTTTTACATATATGTACATATATTATTAAGCTGCTTAAGAACTAATGATCAATTGTTAAAAAATATCGGTGCAAATAAATAGTCAAATCAAATGCCGACTTTAAGGACTGTCCGAAAAATCTAAACACATAGTGCATTTGTTGTTTTTATTTGTTTATCTTTTTGAATCAATCCGATTTTTATATGAATTAAGTGTTTAGTTATTTTAAATATATATGTATTTGTTTTATTAAATGGTTAGTTCTGTAACGATATGGAATGTCAAAGGAAATCGGTCAAGTTTTTATGTAAAATTTTGAAAAATTTTTTAGAATTGCATTGAAAGTGTCATTATTTTGACCAAATTTTGTTTCCAGATCTTTTTAGGTTATAGTCTAAGAGCCCAACAAACTAAACCGAGTAGAAGTAGAGTAGGGGTCCCAAAGACCATACATATATTTGGTGTCTTCATGCATGAGGGAACACGAAATGGGCCTGCTGCCTCGCCTAAGGCCAGTCAGAGCCCAAAAAAAAAATTTTTTTTGGGGGATTCGAGTATGTCAGGAGTCCCATATTCTGATTGTTCCTTGAGACAGGACAGGGATTGGGCAATACGATTAGGTAGTGCTGCAAGCCCCCCTAATTATCCGTATCAGTTGCTGCAGCGAGATAAGCGACGCCTCGCCTGTAGGATCCGAGTAGCATCGAGGTCCTCAAAAAACCAATGCTCATCTGAAAGAGCATCAAATTCTGTGCAAGAACAATCACCGCTGCATTTTCCAAACAGTGGTGGACATGGCTGCTGCAGCGTTTGAAAGTCGCCCTTCTTGTCCAGTCATTATACACTTTTGACCTCGCAAAAATTAATTCTCGAATTTTTTCTGGATCTTATGCCCTCGGGGGGATCAGTCTCCGTGTAAATGGCAAGTGGCGACCAAATCCAGCGATTGCGCATGTCCGAATTTTGTTTTTTTTTCGAAAAAATGGTTTTCATTGAATAACGTGGCCATTTTTAATTTTTAAGAAAACTCATAAGAACAAAAGTTGTATGAAATTCCATTCTATACAAGTTTGGTCCTAATAATTATACCCGAGCGCACTTGTGCACAAGGGTATATTAATTTTGTTCACATAACGGTTGTTTGTAACAGCCAAAACGAATCGAGATAGATATAGACAAATGTATACATAAATGATCAGGATGAAAAAAGAAAATTTTTTTTTCACCTTTCCGAAAGCTTCCGCTAGATGGTAAGCCGGGGTGTATCAATTTTGAGTAAATTAGCGTCCTTCAATTTCGAAATATTGAAGTTTCAAGCATTTCTGAAATTTACCGTTATATGAGAAGCGGCCGTAATTTTAGTCCGATTTCAATAATTTTCAACGTTTTGCTTATATGTGGCAAGCACAATAACCACACCGTACACGGTACAAATTGGTAGAACGGTTACCGATATATGTACATATATGTGATCATAAGTGGGCGGCGCCACGCCCATTTTCCAAAATTTTACCATTAACGTATTTCTTGGTAAAGAATTGTTGCAAGCGTCAATTTTGAATAAATTAGCTTCAATATTTATTGATTTATCGAAGATTTTGTATTTCTCTAAATTACCGTTATATGGGATGTGGGCGTGGTTATCGTCCGATTTTAAAAATTTTCGGCGATATTTTATGCTGTACCAAGGCCAACAACTGTGCCAAGTTTGGAAGAAATTGGTGCAGCGGTTACCAAGATATACACATGTAACCATAAGTGGGCGTGGCTACGCCCATTTTCCAAAAATTTATAAT